CACTCCAGTCTGGGCGACTGAGTGAGACTCCAACTCAAAAAAAAAAAAAAAAAAAAAGAACCAGCTGATAAATATTTTAGGCTTTGTGATGATCTCTGAAGTAACTAGTAAACTTTGCCTTTGCAGTAGAATAGTGGCCATAAACCAGTACATAAATGAAGGGGTGTGGCTGTGTTGCAGTCAAACTTTACTTATGAAAATGAGTTCAGGTAACCTTAGAGGTGTTACGTCCTCCCACCCCCATACCCCAACAGTGTCCTACTACTGCCAAACCCACTCTTGTAGTACTGTGATAAATGTTCAGGATCCACTTATGAGTGAGCACATGTGGTATTCAGTCCAGTTCTTTGTTTCTGTGATAGATCACTGAGTATGATGGAGTCTAAATCCATCCAATTTGCTGCAAAGTCTATAATTTGGAAGGTTTTTTTTTTTTTTTTGAGTTGGAGTCTCACTCTGTTGCCCAGACTGGAGTGCAGTGGCATGCTCATGGCCACTGCAGTTTTGACATGCTGGGCTCAGGTGATCCCTCTGCCTCAGTCTTCCAAGTAGCCAGAATTACAGGTGCACACTACCACGTCCAGCTAACTTTTTTGATTTTATTATAGAGATGAGGTTTCACCATGTTGCCCTGGCTGGTCTTGAACTTGCGGGCTTAGGCAATCCTCTTGCCTTAGCCTCCCACAGTGCTGGGATTACAGGCTGAACCAGCGTGCCTGGCCTTGAAGTTTTTAATCTAGAAAATAACATGACTAGATATGTGTTTTAGAAAAATTTCTCCAGCAGTATTTTAGAGGATGGAAGGGAAGAATTTAGAGGGAATTAAAAGTCTATAACAGACTGGGCACAGCGGCTCATGTCTGTAGTCCCAGTGCTTTGGGAGCCAAAGCAAGAGGATTCCATGACAGACTTCATTTCTAACACACACACACACACACACACACACACACACACACACACAAAGCTATAACAGTCCCAAGTTGGAGATGACGGTTAGAATAAGGCAATAGGCAAGGAAAACATTTGAGAGATTCAGTGGTTTTTGCAGATGGAGAATATGCCCCGATTAGCTGACAAGCCAACCAAGGCCAGAAAAGATGTCTTTCCTCAAAGTGCTTAACGCAGTAGTGGACAGTCCTGGCTTTATAATTTATAGGAAGTGTGAATCAGAGCCTAAGCTAAAATGCTTGTAGTTTTCTCACCTCCATAATAAAGATAACAATCGTTACCTCACCTACCTCGTAGAGCTCTGACAGTCAAAATGATAACACATGACATAATCAAATCATAGGCACAGGTAAGTCATATCTTAAAAGTTCTTGAGATGTAACTAATAAATTCACCCAGACTCGTTGAAAACCTACTATGTGCCAGTACATATACAACAGGCATTTGACAGTTATTCATTGACTCTGAGGACACTTCAGTCATTCTAATAAATTGTTCAGGCACTTGTGACCAGTCTGTTAATTTCACTGTCTGTTAATTTTTCTGTTTTACTCATCTCTTATTTCCCATCTTCGGGTCATTTTGTTGAACTCAACTACCTCCATCAGAAAATGGTCAGAAAAAAAGGCAATAGAAGGAGATGAAACTCAGCTAGTAGGTGAGCCAAAATTAAGCAGGGGAGAAGAGAAACCATGGCCAAGAATGAGGCTTCTTTAATTTTTAATGATTCACACTGGATCCGGCACTAATTAGCAGAGACAAATGAGTCATCTGCTTAAGTGCTTACATACACAAAAACATACACTCCTTCACACAAAAACACAACAGGATATGTTCTTGAAATTACATCTCCTATTGGATTTTTTCAATAAAATAAAGGCAGCTAAACAAATGTTTTCCTACAATTTTGTTACTGCTTTTTCTTGAATTGCAGAAAAGGGCAAGGAAGCACTTTCATCCTAAAAAGCATCTATTTTCAAAATAGAATTTATAAAACATTTCTGCTAAGTGAGTAGTTCTAAAGGTTGTTCTTAATATTTTTTTGGCCTGAAGTTCTTTAATTCAAATTCAGTGTTTTGAGGAAAAGTCTTATTGACATTTCATAATATACCATCAGATCCTATTAGATTTTTAAGGTTTTGCTTTGACAGCCAGGAGTATCTAGAACTCCATGGGATTTTCTAACAGTTCCAATATGCTTGACCTCCTCTTCTAATACTCTCTAAGCTACATGAATAAATAATCAGCAATAAGATCTTGGGTAATTTCCCAAGAGGGCTATTGCTGAAGCAGAAACCAGCTTTATCTTCTTTGATGTGTATTAAAAGTCATCAGTGAAAGTCCCAGGCCACTCTTTGACAAATGCTATTTCTCCTATTGGCCGTCAAGGCATGTTAAACCATCTAAACTTGAGCCAAATGTGAGCGCCCACACAAATCACCTCTGGAGCTTTCTCAGATTACGAAAGAAACCTGGCTTTCAACTTCACTTCCCATATGAGAGTCCTGATGAAAAATTTATCCCCAACATCTGAACCAGCGAGGAAACTCAGCCTTATCAGCCAATTATGGTGCCCACGTCTGATCCATCTTTGAACTTCCAATGTCCAGAGCAGCGTCTGGCACATAGCAGGTGTTGGCAAATGCTAGCTGACTTAAGAGAAGGACTGAAGTGTGTTCAAGGACTAACCTTCAAAAGCATTTCTTCATGTTGGGGGTTGTCAGAGTCATAGGGCTCTCTGCGTAGTTTTTCCACATCTGCGATAAGGTTTCTGTACCCCACGATCTGCAGAAGGCAAGCCTGAAGAGAGATTCCCAGCCTAGGGTGTGCAAAAACAGGAAAACACACATGAGGAAAAACAAACATCTACTTTTGACATTTGTTCACTTGCTGTATGTGGGATAGAACTTTCCATATTCATATAATATTCAAAAGTTGTCAGATATGACCTATCAGAGAAGCACAATTCTTACTAAAGTTCCGTGTAGACAGCTATAGCACCTGGCTGAAATTTATCTCGAATTCTGACTTTTTCTTAAGCTAGATTGCAACAGTGTGGCTTAGAAAACAAGGGATATCTGTATGCAAGTTACTCGAAAACAAAGTGCAGAAACTGTAAGAAACAGTGGGCTTTTTGCGATTACATAGCCCACATAGGTGGGTGTAACAATCACGTTCGAAGGGTGTGCATGAGAGAGACAGCGAGGGCGAGGGTGAGGGCAAGAGGGGCTTCAAAGCAAGAAAAATGTCAAAACTAAATAAAATGAAACAATAACAACAACAGCAACACCTGTGCTTGGGAGTATCCCTGACAGATGAGGCAGTGCCAAGAGGGAAGTCACAACTTCAGAAGATTTCCCATCACACTCTGATGGGTCTAGTCATCTGAACACTTTTCTTTTTTTTTTTTTTTTCCACGCAAGCATCTTTATTGACAAGCAGCCGCCCGTGCCTGCCTGGTGCCAGCCCTGTATGGAGACTGAGAAGAAGGCCTGGCGTTCAGGCGACCTCCAACCTGAACACTTTTCTTACGCGGAAACAAAACCTGTTTTGCTTATTACCAGGTGGTTCAGGTTCTGTTCTCGGAGCAAACTTATTTCCACCTTTCCCCGTCATGCTATTTATTTTAAGATGGTGATACTTTCTTCTGGTCTCTTCTCTGTTCCTATTCCTTCAAATCCCTCTGATGGGACACAGTTTTTAGATGCTTTACTATCTTACATAGTCTGCTGTGAATATACACTATTTGATTAAGAGGTCCTTTAAAACATATCATTAGAACAGAAAACAATCTGGCAATCGTAACACATAAAGGATCATTTCTTTCTGTGACCACAATACTGTTTTTCTTTCCTACAATCTGTAAAGTAAGATAGAGTCATTTCAAGCAGTGGCATCATTTTAGTAAATTAATATCATTTATAAACAGGTGACTAACACAGCATAAGATCCTTTTTTCATACAGACTACTGTCATCTAAATTAAACCTAAAGGCAGTCTTTCATGTGTATTGATTCCTGCTAAGTTATTTATAGTCATGTATTTTCTGTGGTTCAAAAATGGTTGAACATTGGCAATTTCCTGATACTATCCAATATATTCCTGTTCCCAGTTAGCTCACTCACTGATTTTGAATATTTTTGTGGTGATGGTGGTGGTCGTTATAATCACAACAGTAACATCATCTTTTTGGAGAGGTAAATGAGATGCACAGAAATTAAATCTCAAGTCTTAGGACTGCACACCTACTTTATTCATAGAGGGCAGTGTCAGGTAGCCTAGGAATACCAGACTTTATTAAAAGTGTGTGTTCCATTAATGGCCTTTATAATCATTTGTTACCATAGCATGAAAAAATGAAATCTGATATTTAAACTTAGGAAAGGGTTCAGTGGTGTTGGTCCCCCAGAAGATTAATGTGGAACTAACAAGATAGTTAATTTTGAGAGAAAAAAGAGAGCAGAAGAAACAAAAAAGGTGGGAACAAGGAAAGTCAATTAAATTTTTTTTCTATAGTAATTTGTAGTACCACTATAAGCAGCACTTTAAACAAATAATCAAAACAAAAATAATGGTAGTTTTGTAAGTTATAAAATGTTTCCTCCATTTCTTATCTCCTATTTCTCATACTCAGGAAAGTATTTAATTTTTTTGTGTCAGATTTTGTCAATGTTCGTCTGGAGAAAAGGCACCAAAATTCACATTGAGATGTAACAACAACCACAAAAATACAAATACAATAAAATACAAAAATAATTTTAAAAACTACAAATTGAGGGTCTTTTGCCCAAGATGCTTGGGACCAGAAGTGTTTTGGCTTTTGAATTTTTTTCAGATTTTGGCTTTTGGATTTTTTTCAGATTTTGGAATATTTTCATATACATAAAGAGATGTATATGCATCTTGGGGATGGAACTCAAGTATAAGCCCAAGTATAAACTCAAGAAATTCACTTATGTTTCATATATACGTTATACAAATAGCCTGAAGGCGATTTTATACAATATTTTTAATAATGGATGCAACCGGTCACTTGAGGACAAGTATGGAATTTTCCACTTTTGGCATCATATTGGCATTCTAAAAGACTCAGCTTTTGGAGCATTTAAAAATTTTTAGATTAAGGATGCTCAGCCTGTATCAGGGTTTCTTTCTCCCCTAAGTGAAATAAAAAGAATGTATGGCAAAGAAATGCTTTTGAGTGCAACTTGGGCAACTTGCATAGAACAACCATAAGAAAAGATTTGCTATTAAATCCAATTCAACCTCTAAACATGGTTATAGGATTAATATATCCCTTATGCCCAGTTATAATCTTAAATTTTTGGTTCCACTTAATCTATAATAAATTGCCTTCTTATCACCTTCCCAGAGGAATAAATTATAAGTCAGAAGGTTTCAAAAGACAGTTACTGCATAAGTAAATCCACCTTCGATGGCTGGATAAGGAAAAGACAGCGAATTAGCTGAAGTGGCTGCTGAAAAACGTTGCGGAAACTAGATGAAAATGGGGTTTTTGTCATGAGCCTCCAGATAGCTGGTACCCAAAGTCCCTCCAAGACACAGACTTGTGCAAGTGTGCTCTTAAATTCCCTTCAACTACAGCTCCTGTCTTTGGTAATTAAAAGCCTTTCTCAGCAGTAACATCTGAAGTTCTCAGGTACAAACATCTAAAAGACAGTTTGATTGCTACCAACCTAAAACTGTCTCTAAATATATCTGCATTTGAAATTTATTCTACCCCATGTCCTTAGTGTGAAATTTTACTGAAAAATTGCTGTACCCAATGGAAAATATAAAGCTAATTTTAAATGTCACGTACATTGCCAAATGCATTTTAATACTTCCAAGATGAAAGGAATAAATTATAAAGTTCTAAAGTCTTCACATAAAAGCCATTCCTCCCTCCCACACATGCCTGTCTTCTTGACAAGCAGGTAGAAACTGTCTCCAAGATTATCAGTCTGTCATGAAGGAATATTCATGAAGAAACTGAAGGATTATTCTAGATGGAGCAGAATAATCCTTCAGTTACATTTATAATTTGAACATTTACCATCAATACAAGTCATAGGCATCAGATAGAATGACTGTTGATAAATGGGCTTCCTCTCTCTCATCTTTTGCTATTGGGGCACCCATCACATTTCTCATGTTCGTTGCACCTCAGAAGCATAAGCATAAACCACAAAAGAAGAATAAAGTTGCTGCCATTTACAAACACGAAAAAGCACCCTTTTTCTTTAATTCTTCATCTGAAAGTCAAAACACTGCATGTGATTATTTTAGGTAGAGAGGGAGGGAGAGAAACACTAAACATGTGGCCCCATGACTTGCGTTCTATATTTCTGACATAAGAAACATTCTTACTGTGGATTTATGTCGGGGTTAATTTTTTTCAGTTCCATGATGTCTTCTATAGTTTTTTCAATCGCATCAGGGTGAACACTCACTGAAGTCTGCAACAGCTGGAAAACATGTTTCAGTCAATCCCTTTTCATTAACACCGGTGGCTTAAATAGTGTCTGCTGTGATAGAGGCTTCAAGTATTTGTTTAAGGTTCAAATACAAAGAGATACGCTAAAAGCAAAAATTGATTGAGAGTACTTGAATTTTAATAAATTTAATAAATTTGACATTTTCACAATTGAGGTAGTACAATTTTCCTGATTACCTTGATTAGAAAAGTATATTAAATTTGGTTTTTTCTTTCTTTCTTTTTTTACCATTTCCATCTGTTTCACGCTATCTATATTGAAATATATTTTCTTTTCCTCACTTAACATAGTTTCCATGGTTAAAGGGCATTACCTTTATGATTAAGGAGTGAGGCACATGGGAGATATAGTTTTAAGCAAGAAAAAATTAAATAATAAGATAAAATTATCAAGAATTTTGAAAAACAAAACAGATCTTTTTTCTCTCTTATGTGAATGTTCAACTATGTTCTATAAAAACCAACATAGTGGCTTGTTTGATTTTATTGGGGAATCTTGAGTATAATGTTAATGATTTGGATGTTGAGAAAATACTAGAGAGTTAATACTGTTCTTATTTTCAAAGAATATTCATTTTGTGATTCAGGAAGAGGTATAAAAAAGGATTAATTCAACAATGAAGTGCTAAGTGGTTCACAAATCTTCCTAGAAATTCACAATATAGTGGCTGCCCTCATGTAAAAAGTACAGTGGTTTGTAATGGGCAAACAATTCTTTCCTTCCTTGCATAAGTTTTTCTTGCCAATGGTATTTTTTTCTGTTAGCATTTTTACTTTTTATGATAGAAGGAAACCTTTACAATGAAAAGTTGCTGAAAAAATAAACAATTTTACTTACCTTGCTTTTTGACTCCCTCAGTGATGTTTCTGTTAAAGTAGTAACAAAAACAGTCATTCAAAAACAGTCCTTAACAAATGGTTTACAATTCCTATCCTGAAATAAAACACTGTATCCTCAATCCCACCGATTCTACCTGTTGCTTACTTCTTTGTTTCATGCTCACCGATTTTCATGGTCCTAGAAGCTCCAGGCTTGGTGTTGTAACAGATGCGTTGCAGTTCACATCTTCCGGTTAGCTTCCTCATGACAAATTTCAGGCAGCGCCACAGAAACTTACAGTAAAAATACAGGCATACCTGGATCAACATTCTGTGAAAAACAAAAGACAGCACCCTTCCAATAGAACTCTGGAAGAGAAGAGAAAGCAACCACCACCAACGAGAGAAGCAGCCCAGAAGAAAATCAGCCATTAGACTTCCATCACATTTAGCATATGCTTCTAATCTCATGCTACTTTATTTGCAGTAGCTACTCTTACTCTGATTTCAATCAACTCCAGAATGTCCTATTCTGGGAAATTTGGTGTCCCAAGAAACTGAGGGTGAAGTATGGGAATCCTTTCTTTTCCCACACCTTTGCCTGAAAACTTCTTGGAAATAAGTCAGTACCTTGGAAACAGAATCCTTTAATACTGTGTGTGTTTCAGAAGTGGCCTCTCCCTCAGACATGGTGCAAGAATGCACTATCCTCTTTCTGCTCCGTGAACAGCTCCTCAGCTTGTCCTTGTTCACCTCCAGCCTACTTCGTACCCTTTTTCTGGCCACGATTTGATTTTGCCCCTGGATCCCCCATTCTTTCTGTCCCCCTCTGCTTTCCCTTAAGCACTGCTGCCCTCCTTGAGGACTTGGTTGTGTGGTCACCTGCCTTTTCTGCTGACCAACCCTCACACTCTTGCCCTTGGCGGAAGGCCTCCTCTTCAGCTCACTGGACAAGCACTGTTGACCTTCGATTTTTCTCAGACGTGACAGCCTTCTCTGATTTTGACTTTCCAAAAGTTCGACCTCTTGAGAAGTTTGTTCTTGGCTCTTGCTAAAGTGAGTTTTAATTACTGTACACACTACCTCACTCCCATAATACTTCAACAAAATAGGAACTATATTGTCACCAATCATGTGCTTATCCACACATCTCTGGTCCATGTAAATCTGTCTTTTGTGCTGACTTTTCATTTTTAAAATGTGAGTGCCTACTACTTTATGATACTATTCAGAGTCTCAAAACGACTCAAGTTGTAGAGGTAAGGAGAGAACCTATTATCCAGGAACCTATATATTTAACTCATCTTCTCTTTATAAGATGTATTCCTAGGAGGCAGAATTATGAAGGGGGACTTCCAAAAAACAGGAATTATCTTTTGGGAGGGTGGGCTTCTTGAAGTACAGGCTTCCCCTGCTAGGTAAGTGCTCTAGGAACCCAACGGCATCCGTGTACCAGCTAGGACTGTTGTAAAGGCTGTCTTTGGCTTCAGTGAATTGTTTTTGGAGATTCTTTCAACACGTTTACCCATTTCATAATGGGTGATATATGAGCACACTTGACCACACCACGCTGAGTGTTCAGTTTTTGACCAAAAAAGGCATGACCTCCATGTCACCCCCTCCCTACTCACTTGATCTTACCCTGAGTGCCTTTTGTTTGTTTGTTTGTTTCCCTGAATGAAAAAGTCCTCAAAGGAAACATTTTGCCGACGTGGAAGTGGTGGAACAAAAATGGCAGAAGCACTAAAACACAGCAAGATTAATGAGTTCAAAAACTGTTTCGAGCAGTAGAAAAAGTATCTCAGTAGGTGTATTGCAGCAAACGGAGAGTACTTGGATGGTGACTGAAGTTTAAACATGCAAGAATAAATATGCAAATTTTTAATAAATAAATTCCACGTTTTTGGGGTCTCCCCTCATATTTACATTACTTCCTATTGGTGCCATTTTTAAAAGATTTTTTTTTTAATTTTCAAAAATTCACCAATTCCTTGCAGCTCTAAAATAAGGCGATTCATGGTCATTCAGATAAGCTGGAGTAGTTAAGAGCCTCAACAATGTGACCTCTGTCTGAAAATGAACCAGTACCCTGGTTGTGTTCCTTTGCTCAAATTACTCTGGTTCCAATAGCTTCAACAGTGTTGGGCTAAACGTAGAAATTCTAACAGTCTGATGTGCACAAAGGCATGAGGTCTATATCTTATAAATGCAAAGGAAATGGGAAGCAACAAGACAGATAACCAAGCTGCTGAACTGAGATAACATAATGGAATACTTCGCAAGCAATAAAATGATGTCCTAGAATATCTAATAACATGAAAATGCTCATGATATGCTTATCAAATAGAAACAAGTTACAAAGGAATATGTGTGGAATGATCTATTTTTTTCCTTAAAAAATAAAACAAAAATTTTAATAGTCATGTGTTAAGCAGGATACACAACAAAAAAGTTAATAGTGGTACCTCTAGGTAACAACCTTTTCAGTGATTTTTATTTTCTTTTTCGATAAAGTATATATTCTTTTTTCTATAATAAGCATGTATTATTTTACTTAGGAAAAATGAAAGTTATAACAAAAATTAAAATATAAAATTGATCACCAAAAGCTGTTATAAAAGTACATATAAAATTTCTATGTGTAGTCAGCAAGTACAAAATCAACCAGATTCTGCTGAAAGACAAAAAAAACAACAACAACGGATGTACTATATTGTAAAGCCTAACATTCCACTGTTCTAGTCAAATATGTTCTAAGATCTGTTAGGATTTAGGTTAGCAGCTTCCAGAAAAAAAAAAAAAAAAAGACCGTAACTCCTCTAAAAATAAATTTAGTGGAACATTTTAATTAGACTAGTGAGAAGATTTATAAAACCTCAACTTGGTCTCTTGGAAAATGTTTTTCATTTTCCAGCTACTAGATAGCTGTGCCAGAAAAAATATTGAGCAATATCTTTGTTAACTGGTCCCCAGTCAAATGGTAATGATATTAATTACTGGGAGGTATTATTCCTATTATTGAGTCAAGGATAAAAGCTTTCCGTGACATCTGTTCCATGTACAATTTTTGGTGAAGGCGGCCTCATGGGTGGGCTCACGCCTCAAAGAGGCCCCTTGCGAGTCTGTATTGCAGCACATGTGAAACTACGTGATAATTCAGTACTAAATCTTCCTAGAGAAGAGGGTCTTGATGACTGTTTATGCAGCATCTTTGTATTCTCCCTACTTAGGTAGGAGAGAATATTTAGATAGGGAGAATACAGAAAGTTTTCCTTGTGACCTTTCTACTGAGTCCATACAAAGATGAGGCTCTAGACCTAGAAGTGTCATCCATGGTGGCAGAAAAAGACCATATGTAAAGTTTGTAGAATGACCTATAGCACAACTGTCATTTCTCCCCCTGGCTTCCTTGCATATGAAAAAAAGGCTTGTGGTACTGTTTTGTACCAAGAGGGTTTTACATAAAAGGAGAGAAAAGCCATCACATTCTATTTGCTTTTATCTTTTTCAGTTCCTCTGAGGATGCTCACACTGTCAGATACATGAAACCCAGTAGAAATCCACAGTAGGGGTTGGGGTGAAGCATCACTTCTTAGGGTTTACTACTCTGTGAAGTATGCCACATCTCTCTCACACACTCACATAAGCAGTATCACAATTCATGAGAGGGGAATGCCCATTTCAAGTGTGAAATGACACCTGTACACTGCTTATTCCTTCATAATTTCTAAGCCAAAAGAAACTGATGATACTATTTATTATCCAAGATATATTTTAAATTTTTTTCCTTACTTTTCTAATGGACCAACATGCCTACAAATATTTCATGAAAAGCCCAGCTTGCTGTGCTAAGAATTATATATCTTCTTGATCCAGATCATAGATCAAATTATGTTTTGACAGATATAGTTTATTTTGTGTTTAGGTCATAAATCTGATCCAAGTAAGGCATGGATCAAGTAGAAAAAGGTTACAAAGGAATATGGGTAGGAATGATCTACATTTTCTTTAACAAAAATAAAACAAACATTTTAATAGCAATGGAAACACAGGGCCACCCTTTACTTTTGAAACCTTATTTTGATGACAGTAACAATACCCAATGTGCTTCCTCATGAAAGGACCAGATCAGCAAAACCTCCCTCTGAGCAACTCTGAATGGCAGTTCATCATCAAATACTGCCAGGAGCTCACTTCTTAGATTATTTGGACCTATTTTAGTCCCAAATCATAAAGTTTGTGGGGGAGGGGAACCCCCCAAACTGCTGAGGATCAAAAGGAGAACAAAAGACATGATTACATATATTAAGAGAATGCTAAATTGGCTTGGCATGTTTACCTGATAAGGAAGAAATTAGGAAATAGATGTAGAAATTCTCTTGAGTGAATCAGTTGTTGGCTTAGGAAGGAAGGAAGGAAAGAAGGGAGAGAGAGAGAAAGGATGTCCTTGTTTCTTATTTGAGTTAAAGACCTTTTGAATCCATTGTCCCCTTTCCTCCTCTTAATTTGTGTCATTTTATGTCCTTGTGTTTCTGACTGCATGCCTCTGGAGGGGGCATTTCAAATGTACCTTTGAGACAGATCCCATCTGCTTTCTCTTGCTCCAGCACTCATGCCATCTTTCTGTTCCACCCTCTTGGCCATCTGAACCCCAAGCTCAGTGGGTTTACATACCTCTGCTCTTTTCCCTCCCAGCCTGAATCAGCAAATCAATAAGTTTAGTTCCAACTGGGAAATATTTGTTTTTTGGTTTTTTTAAAAAAAATAACATTAGACTTCGTTTTCTCAGTTCTGATTCTCAACTCACAACCAAAAGGAATTGTTAGAGTTGGCAAAAACTACAATTAAATCCTTAAGACTAGAGGGAGAAGTTACTGATCACCATCTCCTCTTTTTAATAACCACCAGCATAGGCAGCAGATTTTTTTTGGTGACCATTTCTGTTTTTTAATCACAGCTTTTTAATGGTGTTCCAAAAAGAGTTACTGTCGCTTCCTAAGACGAATGTCTTGCTTAAGCCCCGGGAGACTCTGATTCAATCATAAGACCTACCACACATGTTCCATTTCTAGTATGTTCTGTTACTGCCATTTATTAAGACGTTGCAGAGTGATGTTTATGGCTGAGTTCACAGCAGTGTTCTTCCATAAAGCAATTATGGCCACGTTTATTATTTAACATTCATTGTCTAGCTTGAACCAGAATAGCCACCTATGTAAATTATTCAAGGTGGATCATATCTCTGCTACAGAATAAATGCAGCCTCCTGTCCTGAGGAGCTTTGTTAGAGGAGTCCATTCAGCAGGGATGGGGTCTCTGAAACAGAAGATG